AGGCCCCGGACATTTTTTTTGAGAGAGGCCCGTAATCGTATTTTTATATTTTTAATTTTGTAGTTGAACAAATAATAATAAACATTGTCAATAATAAATATGAAGAAAACCATGAATATGAGAAAATTTAGTAAATTAGAATACAAAAACTTACAATCTTCTCGTCTTCTTTCTTACAAATTATCAATCTATTCACCATAATCAAGTTTCGCAACCATTTTTTTTTTCAATGGATAACATCGCCAAACCATTCAATCTATCCTGAGACATAGTTGACCGATGGTAATTTTTTATCAACTTCAGCTTGGAAAAAACTTCTTTCAGCAGCTGCAACAGTAACCGGGATGGTCAACAATATTCTATAAGCTACCCATGTATTAGGGAAACCATGATACAAATTTTTGATATACTCTAATACTTCAATTGGTTTAGTTAATCTATCCGGTTATGCTTTTCTCAGTAATTGCAACTCCAGAATAGATCGAGTGCATCAATATCATCCTCTGATTTAATAAAAAGAAATAAACTACATATATCAATCTAAGAAAACATAGACAAATACAAAAAAAAAATAATAATAATAAATATATATCTTGTGCAGTCAATTGAAGAACAAATAATCAAATTCGTATTAGCACAATTGAACAATTCAGGTGGAACAAAATAATCAAATTCATATCCATAATGCTTGATTGCTTCAAAAATCAAAACTAATATATTCTAATTGAGGATTGAGGTGGCCTGTGAGTCTGTAACCAGTAACCATTATACCTCACTTGAAAAACTTAGCAAAAGAGATTAATATATTCTAATTGATCAAAATCTTCAACCAGATGGAACAGATATCATCAATTCATCATTTCAAAGCTGCTTGACTGCTTCAAAAATCAAAACTCGTATCAATGCATATTAATAAAATTCAACAGAGATCGGGAAAATATTTAGAAAATAGAAAAAGTTCCTACCGAATTGATTGAGAAGCTCGGCGGCACCGGCGACGCGTGAGGCGGTTGTGGTGAGGGCGTAGGGCGTTGGCAGTCGAGCTACTAAACTGCAAGTGCTAATTTGTGACATTGGGGTTTAATTATGTAAACTGCAAGTGCAAGTCTCGGAACTGCATAAGAGGTAGACCTTTTAAATTTGTTTATGTAACTAAATTGAAACCCAATACAATTGTATTATATATATTATATATATGAGGCCCCCAAAAACATGAGGCCCTAGGCTGGAGCCTTATTTGACTAGCTTAGAAGCCGACCCTGCACATAACAACCTAAATACTAGACTAAAGCCCTCCCCTCCGGCCCCAAGCACCAAGCACCTTCACAAATCGAACCAACTCCTAACGAGATCCACCAAGAGGAAGTCGCTCAACACACGGTTCAGCACCACCTCCCCTGGCAACCTC